ATTGTGAGCATGTTGATAATTGTACAACAAACATACCATTTCAACATCTTTCGATAAAAGATAAGAATTGGATGGAGCCAAATAATGAATTCAAAATATGTGTACACCTGTTTCGTCCTTCTAAGGCTCGTCAGTGATACTAAGTGCCTAAATTGTGAAGTATAGGAGGCGCCTGAAGAAAATCGAATATATTCGGGTGAGGTATATCAGAATACCAAGTCTGAATACCCGAGTATGTTGAAGTGAGATAATTTAATATAATGGGTGATGTATATCAGAATGTTAAGTTCGAGTTGCGCGTGAGTCACTTTATCAGGTATATGTGAGTTACCTTAAATTGTGCAGAGAAATTATAATTTAACTCAAATAACAAAGATAACTCATTTGGAGTAATTTTGCAATATTCTGATATTGAAAATTCTATTTGGAAAATAATTATCAATATCTATTCTAATATCACTCTAATATGATTTTCTGTACAACAATGAAATTCTTTTCCAGATTTATTGTCTGGAATGTTTTGATTGACAATCCTTAAATTCTTAATTTTCCGCAAACTTTGTAGCAGGCAAGAAGATGAAATCATTTGATCAATTGCGAAACAGCTTTTTCCAACATATATTTACCACTCTTGCTGACCCGGATGGAAGTGTTCGAAGGAGAAATTAGAGTACCCGGGAAAGCCCACCTGGTCAGACAAGTAACCCCCATACCTATTCACATCCGTTCCGGAAATCGAACCCCGGACGAGTGAGTTACCACCGCGTTACCAATGTGCCACCCGACCACCAATATTCTAACACTTGCTGAACTTACGCTCCTTGGCCATTTTAAACAGCATAGTCACCGATAAGACTTTTTTTCTGTATCTTTAAATGTTTCCAGAATATAGGTTTCCAAAGAAGTCGATGTTATTGTAACAGAAGAAGATGATTAGAACAGGTCCTAACTTTGTCGTCGGTTTGTAGGATAATATACTGCGAACAACATATTCCAAGTAATAAAGGTTGTAGGGGTGATAAAAGGTGTGATAGAGTGATACATAAAAGAAATAGAAAGTTTAATTTTCATGTTTGTCTTTGATAATGCGGTTATAATGTATTTCAGTGTGATCAATTCGAATTAGGTTTACGGCAACAAAACGAAATCAATCGGCAATATAATAAATATTTTGTAAGTATTCTGGTCGGTCAGAATGAATTAACAAGGATTAATATTAAATTTGTTTTAACGGCAACAACTTACAACGAGAGAGAGAGAGAGAGAGAGAGAGAGAGAGAGAGAGAGAGAGAGGGTGAGAGAAATGATTAATTGTTCATTTAAATATAGATGAACCTTCTGACATCGATTCTAAGGATTTTTTTATGAGTAACAATATCACATATGTGTTAAGATATTTCCGTGTATCGATGATTTTATTTGATTTTTTTTACCACACAATGCAGATGGGGATGCACATTATTACCGCTATCCTTGAGGAAAAAAACCCTATCTAAACAGCGTAGATTAGTTCATTTCAAATGTTTTAAGAGGCATAAAAACAAAGTTATACTAGAGAGATAACATATATTATATTTCACCCCGGTGTCACTATTCTGTGTATCGGGAACTGCTAGGTCTAAGATACGTCTCGCCTTTGAATGCCTGGGAAAGTTGAGTATGATCCACTGTGAACCGTACTTCTAGATACTGAGATATGCTATCACGAATTAGTCACTTTCATCTCTCAAGTCCATTTAAACTTTGTTAACATAATGCTCGCTCACAAAGTATCCATGAAGAACCTCCACAGTTAAATGTTTGAATAGTTATGTTGACATTATACAAATTATTCCGAGACAAAAAGACAAAAACACTGAGATGTTTTCCTCGCCCGTTATTCTGAAGTGTGTAATCGGCCAGTTGTATCATGAATTAAAGTTTCTGTATTCATGTGAAATAAGCGTTCCGTTATATGGCTGGGTCGACTTACTTTTGTAATTACCACCAACAGATTCAGATCATCTCTGGATCAATTACGGACGCCTGTCCTGTTAGCGAAACAAACTCGTCTCTTTATCCTTTTTATTTAAACTTCACCTGTGATATTGAAATCATTTGTATTTCTGTAATCATCTTAATACATATACAAATCAAATATTTACTTGTATATCTATTTATCAAATGTGAAAACATGTGGTGACGCATCACTGTCTATCCACCAAGCTGACAATGCTAGCACGATGAGGCGATTAGTCAATCACTGATCAGTTGAAGACTTCAGTACTATCGTGGACATATCTTGTCGCTTTTGGCCATTCCCAAGTATCGAGGGTACACGAACGACTACACCGTAAGGGGCCAATAGGTCAGACCATTTTACGAAACATACCAGGGTGAACCTAAATTTTACTTCTTATGTCAAACAGTTGTATTATATATAGATTTTTCAAAAGGTTCAAACGGACGCACGGAGGAACATCGCATGCAAGTAGCAGTGCTTTTGTTCAGGGATCTAGTGTCCGCCTAAAGCATTTTAACACGGAATCCTCAGTTTTGACTTATTTAATGGTAAATGATATTCATATACCATCAATCTATGATTGACATATAAAAAGGACAATGGAATACATGTATGTTCGTCTAAAATAGTTTTAATTAATTAAAAAAGTCTTTTCAAACTGTGATATTTGTGCGTGTTTCTCCAGGATGTTACTGAAAGGAAGACGCCATGGACACGGACATTCAAATATAGTGGTGTAAATGATTGATATATATGTATAATGTGATTTGTTTGCAACCTGGAATATTTGGATGACAGATGGATATCTACAGAAAACTTTATTTTTACTACTACATGTATTGGTTGGCATGGAAAACAGTTATTCGTGAACAAGATCACCAAACCTCTAATTATTGGTAATTATCGCTTTGTAAAAATACTACAAAGCTAAATGTGTGTATGGTTCTGTTGGAGACTAAATCCCTGAACTTATAAAAGGTAAGAAAACTAATTCAGAAGTGGAACGTTAGTTTATAAATACGTTTGTTTTTTCTTTGCTATGAATTAATTCTGTTTTAACATATCCAGTCGCGGTAAACGTTTTTATGGCAGTGGCTAATTATGTTTTACGTAAAAAATCTTCTACCTACATGTTGGTTTTTCGTAATTCAATATGAACAGCATAATTTTGAGAGAGAGCATCTATCGACATTCTAATTCGTTCGGGAAAGAAGCAAATTGAAAATGAACATTTAAAAATAACGTATAAACGGAATAAGAGGCTTGTATACTCATCCCACTATCATTGTCTACTAGTGTCTAAGCCGTTTGTACATAAAAACATGGCTACAGGCAGTCGAATCTGGAGATGAAAGATATGGTTAACAATAACGGATCTTTAAATTGTTTTTCATTTCCGAACTAAAGTTTGTGAAAATTAACTACAAGTGAAAACAATGAAATGCTATCTGTCCCTATTAAAACTATCCCAAGACACTAGGTGGGTGATGTTTCTAAGTCTTTGTAAAGTAGTTTAGATTTACCGTTAACATACAAACGGAATTTAAACTTGAAATATATGACTGGTTTCAAAGCGATTTATGTGACAGTGATAGTTTGCTGGCCCCCTTAACTCCGGCTATTCAATACTTTATGTTTTAGCGCAATTTTTACAAGTATATGATAAATGGTTGAATAAATTTCTTCTCGATTAAAACAGCGTCAATCAACGTGGTATGAAATGAATTTACGTTGCAAATAGTATATTTTTAGGTTTTATAGATTAAAAAGACGGTAAAACACTTAGCCGTAAAGAATTGATTTCTAAGCTTACCTTTAGCTGAGCTGATGACCCATGGTATGGCTACTATGTACAAGTGTAGCTGTGCGCTGGCGTGTTAGTCGGCAGATTAAGGGCTATGATCAGCGTAATTGTAGATGGTATCGGCCCATTAAGGGGAAAGATTTTAAGATTCAAAGCCGCGTTTATAAACCCGTCTGTCTTTACTAGCGCCTGATGTACTGTAGGCGTCCCAAGTTTCACTCCTTTGAAATAAATACTAACAAACGGTCAAAGTGTTTGATACTGAAAAATAACTATAGTTTTGCATGATTTTTTTTCGTGAATGGAAAACATTTTTTTTTGATGTAACAAATTTTCATAAATCGGTAGTCATTTATCCGAACACATCCTAGAGATTTCTGTCAATTGAAAATAAACTTAACATTCATCGCTGTCTGTTCAGCGCCAGCACGTGGCCACAGCCAACCAACAATACGGTTTAAGGACACCGGCGGCGACTATTATTTTGGTCTTATCCAGGAGACACTAAGGCAGCTAGTCGCATTCACGCAAGTAAATTGGCTTCCCTCTATTTTACAAAAGATATCCTAATACTCAGTTAGATAAATTCCATCGCAAACGAAAAAAAAAGAAAAAAACTGTTCAGCATCGATAGCTTCTATGTTTGTGTTTAGGTGTCAGTATTTGACAGTAACAACTTAGAAACGACTGTACATCAAAGGGAAAATTAAGTCAGAAAAAGAAACGGTGTATGTTTCTTTCCTCCAATTCGTCCGGGATACACTCTTACACTTCAGGTGCAGAGTAAGTCAATGTCTGTGAAGCTACTTTGGATAAACAAATGGAGGGCGGGAAAGTTTGTGGTCGACACAGGCGGCAGTAAGGAAATAAAATAATTGAGTGTGTTTAGTTCAGCTTCCGATAAACTCTAAGGAATATTATTAGGAAAAAAGTGTTGAACGTTTCAACGAACCACTGATGTCAATTCCCTTTCTGTCACACACAAAAAGGAAATATACCTGCAGTCATCATCGTTTTTTTCCTTCTGAGCACCCCCTAGGCCATTCAGCGATTGATAACAGAAGAAGACGAGTCATTGATGGACATAGCCCATCATCCTTAGCGAACAGGACGAAAGTCAGCAGACGACAGTTTGTTTGGCGGGTAATTAATTCCACATGAGCTAATATTAAAAAGTGCAGAATGAAAACAAGCATGAAGTGGACTCTGATCATTTCAGGTGAGTTTTTGTTCTTTACAATTTATATATCCGGAATAAAACTATCTACCGGGATGTTTATTTCTACTTTAATTGTCATGTTATAGGAATGTGATTCTTAGTATTGTTTAGGTGTTTTAGACTTTTCTGGATGACTTTGCCGTGACAATTACTGTCAAACGGTCTGGAGAGCTTACTAATGGCCCTGTCATCTCATAAAGTGTTGGGACACGACAGTGTAGTATTATTGGAACAGGATCGTATAGATAGCAACAGATCACACACAAAAAAGTTATCTTAATCGTTGATTGAAGAAAGATGACAATTATGGTTTCGACGTCATTGAAATATATATTTATAACATCGTATATAATGACGAAACATATCTTAAATTGTTTTCTTTATGACGCAGATGACCACATAAAATACCTTCCTAATAATTTTTGTTTACAAAACATGTGTATTATTTTTGTCTATATTAACCTACATAATTATTTGTATTCTTCGCGTATAGTTGTTGAGGGCTCAGAGATTTGCTGTTATGATATCCTGGATTTGTGTTTGCTGATAAACAATTATCCTAAACCGAACACTTGTTATAAATGTTGTGAATTTAATTTTGCAATATCACTAAAATTATCTCATTTCAGAGGATCCAATACACAGTGTCTGAAACAATATAATATTTCATTTGTTCAATGTTATCATTGTTATAAACCTTTCTTTCTCAACAGATAACCTATACAATTAAGAGTAGCTATTGGTAAACTTGCCGAATACTTCTGATATCATATAAATATCTATGAAGGATATTTGAGTTGTGCTGTATAGTAAGAACGTGTCTTTATCTTAATTTATTTACGTCCATTCTATCAAAAAATATTAAAAATCGGTGGAAAAAATCCAGCACGGATAATTAGTATCCAGTTTAGATATTTGGCCAAAGTTCATCACATTTAAGCGTTTATGCCATGGCATAGCAGATTGCCCTTTACCCTTATATATTTGATTTCAAAGACAATGTTTGAGAGAATGATATTTTTCAAGTACTTTTTCTGTTCGATTCCCTATTAGATAAAATATGAAATTTGACGTTTGCATTTGATGTTTCAAAGAAGGAAACAGAGTAATTATCTTTTTATAGGATTTTAATTGGTTAAGATGTTTAAATTAATTTTAATGGAGAATCCCTCGTCTGAACTAAGGATATAACACCGACACTGTGCGTTTATGTTCGCACTCCTATTTCCTTTAAACGGATGATTCAGTAATTATTGGAAAAACGATGTCATAGTGACAAAATACGCGTAGGTGATTGCCGTTTCCTCATACCGGGTTAATAACTGTACACATGAAATAATGATATCTTTCACCATTAATTCTCCATACGTCATCAGTGTATTATTTGACCATTATCACAGGTTTGTTAAAATTGTAAGTATAGGATGATAAATGTCTAAAGACTTCAATGTCAACTCCCCCAATTTTTTGTTCTTTGTATGTCTGTAAACACTTCAATCAAGGACTTTTATATTGTCACTTCATACGTTGTAGTTCTGGTGTAACCCAACAAAACAAAACTATGAAAACAAAATAAAAAATAAAATATGACACGAACAAGCCTACAGTTAATACTATGTTTGTTTGGCTTCGGGATTTGACTTGATAATAATCATGTTTTAACACTTTATCTCAATTAGTATATCTTGTTGTCGTACACATAACACACTTCTCGCATAGTTTCTGATAACGGAATGTTAAACAGTTGTATCTTCTCTGGTAGTGCGACTTGAAATGTTCCTAAAACAGTCGTATGTCATGACAGAAATTAAAATTTCAGCTAATTTAATTTGTAAATTATACTTCAATTTATTTTGTTTATACTTCCGAAATATGTTATTTCCATGACTTCCTATAAAGTGTTCCCTACTGGTTGAGTAAAATACTTCCCATATACATTTTACAAATGTATAGTGAGAACTGGCGCTATAGTCTTACAAAATGTAAATTATCGTTGTTAAAAGTTATTTCAATCTGTCAATTATATAACTTAATAATAGATAGTCATATTTCCCTTTTGGTTTTCTTGCCTATTTTTTAATGTTGGCTAACCTTTCGGTTTTGTGACCTCAGAATATTCCGAAGAAATATTTGTGTCGAGTCCGTTCGGATCCAGATTTGCATCTTTCTGGTTTTGGGTGTCCTCGGATCATGTGTGTATCTTTTGGTAAGGTGATTAAACATGACATCTTTTGGGTTTGGTGACTCTTCAAATTATCCTTTATATCTTTGGTTTTGGTGACTCCTAAAATCATGCTGTGTATCTTTTGCTTTTTTGACGCTTCGACTTAAAAAGTGTATATTTTGGTTTTGGTGACATCTCAAATTATACTGAGTATCTTTTTGGGCTTGGTGATTCCCCAAATGTTACTTAGTGTCTTTTGGTTTTGGTGACTTCCAAATCCCGGTGTGTATCTTACTGTGTATGTTTTGGTTATTGTTGACTCCTCAGATAACGCTGTGTATGTTCTGGTTATTGGTGACTCCTCAGATAACGCTGTGTATGATCTGGTTTATCGTTGACTCCTCAGATAACGCTGTGTATGTTCTGGTTATTGGTGACTCCTCAGATAACGCTGTGCATGTTTTGGCTATTGGTGACTACACAGATAACGTTATGTATTTTATCGTTAACTCCTCAGATAACGCTGTGTATGTTCTGGCTATTGCTGACTCCTCAGATAACGCTGTGTATGTTCTGGTTATCGTTGACTCCTCAGAAAACGCTGTGTATGTTCTAATTATTGGTGACTTCACAGATGACGCCGTGTATGTTCTTGTTTATCGTTGACTCCTCAGATAACGCTGTGTATGTTTTGGCTATTGGTGACTCCTCAGATAACGCTGTGTATTTGTTCTGGCTATTGGTGACTCCTCAGATAACGCTGTGTATGTTTTGGCTATTGGTAACTCCTCAGATAACGTTGTGTATGTTTTGGCTATTGGTGACTCCTCAGATAACGCTGTGTATGTTTTGGCTATTGGTGAATCCTCAGATAACGCTGTGTATGTGTTGGCTATTGGTGACTCCTCAGATAACGCTGTGTATGTTCTGGCTATTGGTGACTCCTCAGATAACGCTGTGTATGTTTTGGCTATTGGTGACTCCTCAGATAACGCTGTGTATGTTTTGGCTATTGGTGACTCCTCAGTTAACGCTGTGTATGTTTTGGCTATTGGTGACTCCTCAGATAACGCTGTGTATGTTTTGGCTATTGGTGACTCCTCAGATAACGCTGTGTATGTTCTGGCTATTGGTGGCTTCACAGATAACGCTGTGTATGTTCTGGCTATTGGTGACTCCTCAGATAACACTCTGTATGTTCTGGCTATTGGTGACTTCACAGATAACACTTAGTATGTTTTGACTGGTAGTGACTCCTCTGATAACGCCTCGTATCTTTAATAAATCTCTTGTGATGGTTCCTCCCGGGTCATGCTGTGAATGTTTTGTAGTGTTTCTAAGTATCAAAAGTATGTCTACATGTATCGTTTTGGATTTCAAAGGTTACTTTTATCTTCTACTCCTTAATTCTATACTGATGGTTGACGGCAACATTTTGCTTGAATGAATTAAACGATAGCGATTTAAGCTCTGAAATGTCCCTTTAATCTGTCTTCATATTCCGCTAATTGGTTCTTCTTACGGGGTTAGGTAATATTCACGTTCACGAATGGGTTTGTTGAGATTGTAATACTATTAAAATACCGTATATTTTTAAGCATGTTTTTGTCGAGAAGACACCGTATTTGTTAATTAATGTAGAATATAAAATTTGATTTATGATATTTTATGAAAGCAATTAGAGGACAATCATTATCTGTTGGTAGAATGTAAACTATATTATCAGTCGTATGTTTTATCTTTGATGTTGCACAACATTGCATGAATGCTACAATTCAAAAGACAATATTCATAGCATGCAATTCAATATGTTGAATAAGATCATAGGTTTTTATGTCATATGATTTTACACTTTTCAATATATTTTAGATTTGACCTCGAAAGAATATATGATATGACGTCATAATTACAATGACGTCACGACACATGTTTCTTTATTGAAATGCAGTTGGTATTATATTTGTGTAAGAAGTCAATTCAGTAAATGTTCAGAGATGCTAAAACTATTTCCTGACTGCTGTAATTGCTATCTGGATGTATCTTTTGGATGTGTCTTTATTTTTTGTGCAAGAAGTCGTCAACTGACGGACAAAATCGTAACACAAGGTTCCAAAAGATGCAGGTTGATGAAAATTGTGGGGTAGTGTTACGGTTGTCATAGTGATCTTATTGATAAAGATTATATTTCTTTATACGACATGAAGCTGGACGCGTTAAATACTCGTTAGTTTGCATAAGGAATCCGTTATTGTAAACCTTGTTCTCATTTGTGAACCTGACATTATTTATTTGGATTGACAAAGATTTGCATTTCACTCTAGCTTAAACATTCAATAAGCTTACCACTAGCTTAAACATTCAGTAAGCTTACCACTAGCTTAAACATTCAATAAGCTTACCACTAGCTTAAACATTCAGTAAGCTTACCACTAGCTTAAACATTCAATAAGCTTACCACTAGCTTAAACATTCAGTAAGCTTACCACTAGCTTAAACATTCAGTAAGCTTACCACTAGCTTAAATATTCAATAAGCTTACCACTAGCTTAAACATTCAGTAAGCTTACCACTAGCTTAAACATTCAATAAGCTTACCACTAGCTTAAACATTCAATAAGCTTACCACTAGCTTAAACATTCAATAAGCTTACCACCGCTAAATCATTGAATAAGGTTACCACTAGCTTAATCATTGAATAAGGTTACAATTGCTAAATCACTGAATAAGGTTACCACTAGCTTAATCATTTAGTAAGCTGAACAGATCTAAATCATTCAGTAAGCTTAGCACTACTAAATCAGTCAGTAAGCTTACCGCTGCTAAATCAGTCAGAAAGCTTACCACTATTAAATCAGTCAACACGCATACCACTACCAAATCAGTCAACAAGCTTACCACTGCTAAATCAGTCAGTAAGCTTACTACTGCTGAATCAGTCAGTAAGCTTACTACTGCTAAATCAGTCAGTAAGCTTACCACATCTAAATCAGTCAGTAAGCTTACCACATCTAAATCAGTCAGTAAGCTTACCACTGCTAAATCATTCAGTAAGCTTACCACATCTAAATCAGTCAGTAAGCTTACCACTGCTAAATCAGTCAGTAAGCTTACTACTGCTGAATCAGTCAGTATGCTTACCACATCTAAATCAGTCAACAAGCTTACCACTTCTAAATCAGTCAACAAGCTTACCACTGCTAAATCATTCAGTAAGCTTACTACTGCTGAATCAGTCAGTATGCTTACCACATCTAAATCAGTCAGTAAGCTTACCACTGCTTAATCAGTTAGCAAGCTTACCACTCCTAAATCAGTCAGTGAACTTACCACTAGCTTAATCATTCAATAAGAACACCACTGCTTAATCATTTCGTAAGCTGACCAGAACTTAATTATTCAGTAAGCTTACCACTGCTTAATCATCCAATATTTTTGCTACGACTTAAAATACTCATTAAGTTTGCCACTAGTTAAAAATTCTCTAAGTTTGACTATAGTTTAAACATTCAGTAAACTTATCGCCATCTTAATCGTTCAATGAGCTTGCCACATATTAAAATATATCACCTGTTAAAATATTTTGCCAAGTGAAAACATGCAATAGTTTGCAACTAATTGAATCATTCAATGAATTTGTAACCATTCAATACGTTGGCCACCAGTTAAGTCATTCAACAAGTCTGATACGAGATACATGTAAAACATTCAATGTGTTTGCTATTTTCAGTGGTTCAGCATGTAGTCAAACCATTCATTTAATGGTGCCACTTAAAAACATTAGCATAATTAATATAATGATATTATTCCGATACAAAAAATATCAGCTGTCAATGTTTGACATTGGAAACTGACAAAATTTGCTGCATTGTTTAGTTAAAATGTAAAACAATTTAGGTAATTTTGTACAAAAATCTGAAATAGCATCGTGTTACAAATCTCGGTCAATAATTCGCACCAGTGTCAAACTAGTTTACTTACATTGGGAGACTTATATGGAATTGTTAATCATCATCTATAAAAATAACCATAATGAGTAGGAATAAGGTTCAGTGATCCGTAACTGAAGAGACAGCAATTACCACGTGAAAAGTCCTGATTGTGCATTAAAAAAGGTAAACTTTTAGAAATAAGCATGAAAAAATCACATTAGCATTTTGCTTTGATTTATATGCATTTTTACTTGAACAATCAATTATTTATCTACTTTTGTTAGTTATGTGCCTTATATCATAGTTATATATCCATAACATAACTATCCATGTACATATAGCGAAACAATGTTAAATACATTTGTAGTTTAACTACTTGATGAGATATAAAATGTTTTTCTAACCCACCAATGGATATTATACTAGTATCTTAACTATCACGTGATCAGGTCTTATCTTCTTAATTTGATATTGGGCAAGACCTAGACTTAAATTTCATAACAAATGTAAAATATGTGACATAATTCGAAGGTTAATCAGATAGTAGTTTATCTAAAAGTGCTTGATTTGTCAATGTTTTTATCAGATATATCAGATAATTTATTGATAAAGCTTTATCGAGCAACACTTTATCCGACAACCCATCTGGCCCACCATAATGAGACAATATTTTATCTGACGTTTTGTTTAACACAGCTGTACCAGGCCATAGTTTATCTTGTATTTTATTTGACTCACCTTTATCAAGCCATACTTTATCTGGTATTTTGTTTGACTCACCTTTATCAGACCATACTTCAGCTGGTTTTTTATTTGACCCGCCTTTATCAGATCATACTTTATCTGGGCACTTTGTCTGACATAGCTTTACCTTTTTATCTGACAAATAGTTGCTTGTTTTACAATGTTCTATAATACAGAGGTTTATCCGCCAATGTTTTTTTATACAATTCTTCACTTCATAAACTTGATCTTTCATACTTTATATTCCAATGATTAGTCTAACAACAACGAAATTGTCAAACCAATAAGAGTTCTATTTATCAAAATGTACTTAATCAGACAATATTTTATCTGCTAAATTTAATTTGACTTTATCTGAAAATATTGTTTATAATTCTATCTGCTGACATTTGTTCTTTCAATTGATAAACCTAGATGTTATATACAATTAATGCGTTTGATACTGTTTTATGGTATGAACTCACTTTATCAGATAAATACTCTATCTAAAATGTTTTATCGAACAGTTCTTTATCTTAAATACATTGTATATTCTATCCTTCAACATATTCCCTCATAGTACCTCATTACTTGACTCAAAAAGCATCGTCTGTCGACGCATATCCTTGAAACTCTTATCTTATGCATCTTGATAGGCTTTTAAAACAGTTTTGTATCAGAAAATTAGTTAAACTTTAAGATTTTAAATAGCGATACTTTATTCCTTAAACCCGTTACCGGTTAATGGTTTATCTATAAACCATTTATCTGACAGTAACTGCTTTAAAGAAGTTTCCGGAAGTATCATTTTATCTAGATATATAGTTAACGTGAAGAGCTCTATCACGTGGTAATAGATCTGAAAACGCTTGATCAATTTCTATTTTATCAAAAAGATCTTAATCAAACCGAGTCTTTTATATGAAAACACATTTTGTAATTGTTTACATTTAAATGTATTATCATGCAGCATTGTACTATTTAAGAAGAATATCTTTAATAAGCTTTTGGGCATCATGTAATTGACAAATGCTTTATGTTAAAAAACACGAGGTTTTGTAAAACAAACGAAATAACCCCAGTAAACCAGTAACGGAATCAGCTAACATAGACATACTCCTACACACTAATTTAATATTAACACCACCTAACCAATATCGAGTTAACTCTTTTATTATTATATGCTTTACAAGTGATAATCAATACCTTTCCACACTATTATTTGTAAAGTAAATTGTTCAATTGTTACTGACGAGTGTTATCTCAAGTATCAGGTTTTGTCTGACGCGCCTGTTGTCAATTTAGTGAAATTAATGTGATGGGGATATTTTCACATATTCTTCACTAACTCGCATCATATGCCGTCGTATATATTTGTTTTAGAAATTAGACATACTATCTTCTCATGTATGAGAGATATATGAAACATACATAACATGCTTGTTGATTTCCTTTAGATCAATTTCACGACATCGGTTTTGAAATTGATTTGAAATCAAGACTTTAGGATATTGTCATTGTGACCTTGGTCCTGTACACTATGCTGACACATATGTA